CCCTTTTAAAAGGAAGAAACCTCCAGCAGAACCAGGGTTAGGACAAGTGGTCTTCTACTTTGACCGGCTGGTTTGAGAGGACAGGAAGGAGAGACAAACGAACACAGAATGGTAGGTCCAGGTGTACCTGAAAGATAACAACAAAAAAAACTCATGTTAAGGATAGAAAATAATAATTACAAATGTTGAGCAGAGTAAGTAAAGACAGTAGCAGAGTGAAAAGTGTGGTCAGTTTGTCCTCCAGCAGTCTAAGTCTATAGCAGCATAACTAAGGGACAGCTCAGGATCCCCAAGCTGACCCTAACTATAGAATTTAGCAAAAAGGAAAGTCTTAAACCTAGTTTAAAACTGGATAATGTGTCAGCCTCACAGACAGAGATTGGAAGTTGGTTCCACAAGAGAGGAGCCTGAGAACTGAAGGATCTGAAGAATCTCCCCTTCTGTTTTTTTATTTTTTATTCTTGGAACCACAAATAAACCTGCAGCCTGAGAGTCGTGCTCGGTTATGAAAATATGGATTAATAAGATCTGGAATATAAGATGGAGCTAGGTTGCTGAGCGCTTTGTAGGTTAGAAGTAAGATTTTGAATTCTATTCTGGATTTGACAGGGAGCCAATGGAGAGAAGCTAAAACTGGAGAGATATGATCTCTCCCAGTAACTCCAGTTAAGATTCTGGCAGCAGCATTTCGTATCAACTGAAGACGTTTTAAAGAAGGATTTGGACACCCAGATAATAAACCATTGCAAAAATCCAGTTTTCTTTCATGAGCCCAAACTGTGCACGTGCCAGCTATGAACATCTGGTCAGATTATGTCAGTCATGAAACAAGTGAGAGCATAATGATTAGAAATGAAAATTACAGTTTGTTGCAATTCACAGAAGTCTTGCCAGTGCCAAATATTTTCTTTTTCTTTTTAAAAAAATATAGTGGTAAAGTAGAAACAATGTCAATGTTCTCAAACTGTACGCTTACCATTTTGGTGTTTCATTATCACTTTAATCTTAGGTCTTTGCATGATTCCCTGTTGGAAATACAAGGTGCGTTGAGCTCCACATGTGGTGTACGATGTTTTTCAGACTTTTAAATTCCTTTCACAGAAACAAACTGAAAACATGCAAGCATAAAAGCAAAGCAAGTGAAGTAATGTCTCTTTGTCTCCAAAGCAAACCCTTTGCTTCAGGAAGCACAGTGTTCAGGGTAAAATCTGAAGCACTCTAAGAATACAGCAGGGCTCAGTGGAAAAGGTTTATCAAAGTGAACAATGAGAAGGAATATGGATTAACAATAAATTGATGGCATTTGAGATGAAAAAATGTGAAGGGGAATCGAAGATGAGGAGAAGGCACTAGAGAAAAGGGGATTATGAATGAAGAGGAAGAAAAATCCAAAAAATATGGAAGATAGATGCTCTGCAAAGAAAATAACACAAAAGTCAACGTAAAGGGGATTAGAAACAGAGATTTAGTGGAAAAGAGAGATTAACGTAGAATTAAACACTTTATTTATTTATCTATTTATTTATTTAATTTCCAATAAAAACACAAATACAATTTCAAAAAATTAAAGAAAAACAAATATAAAATGAAAGGAAGCAGAAGAAGAAAATGTCTTATCATATCTGCTCCCTCATAAACAAAATCAATTCAAACCATCAATTTAAACATAAACATTCATATATAATACAGCAAAATACATAACTCATCAAAATTTCATACTTAACAAAATAGACATTAATCAGTTATATATATTGTTCCAACAAAACAGTTTTTATCTTTTTCTTAAATATAAACATTGACTTCACCATTTTAGCATCATCTTCCAAACCATTCCACAGACTCATTCCCTGTATAGTAGTAGACCGAGCCTTTAAACTGGTTCTATACTGGGTTTAACAAAAATATCTATGCCCTTCAAATTATAACAACTCTTCCTTTTTACAAAATATGTTTGAATGTTTGATGGTAGCATGCAATTCTGAGCTTTAAACATGAATAAAAGAATATTATAATCCACCAAATCATAAAACTTAAGTATTTTCAATTGACAAAACAGAACATTAGAAGGGTGACAATAACACTTTTTTGTTATAATTTTTACAGCTCTTTTTTGCAGAATAAAAATAGGCTTTGTTATGGTTTTACATACTGTACCCCAAACAGTGACACAGTAAATTAAATGCGGGACTACAAGTGTATTATATAGCAAATATAAAGCATCATTGTTTAATAAGTCCCTTACTCTGTATAATACTGCATTTGACTTAGATATTTTATTTTTTACTAGATTTATATGCTGTTTCCATGACAGTTTATCGTCAATAATTACACCCAGAAACTTTACTTCATTCACTCTACATATCTCAGTACCATCAATTTTGAGAGAAAAATCCAAAGTTATCTTTTTTTTACTAAATATCATAAAATTAGTTTTATCAACATTTAATGATAACTTTTTTAATTTAAACCAATCTTGTATTTTAACAATCTCTTTGTTTATCAATTCAAACATCTGTTCCATGTTTTTACCCAAACAGAAAAACGTTGTATCGTCAGTAAATAAAACACATTTGAGGATGTCAGATACTTCAATTAAATCATTTACATATAAAATAAACACGTTAGGGCCAAGTACTGAACCTTGTGGTACTCCACATAAAGTTCTGCCTAAATTAGATCTTACATCATCCATCTGAACAAACTGCTTTCTATCCCTCAAATAACTGCTTATCCACTGTAAAGCAAGACCTCTAACACCATACTGATTTAATTTATCAAGCAGAATGGTGTGATCAATAGTGTCAAATGCCTTTCTTAAATCCATGAATATACTTATACAATGTTGTTTTTTATCAATCGCTGTAATAATCTGTTCAATCAACTCCATAAGAGCTAAGGATGTTGAACAATTTGATCTAAAACCATATTGACTATTACTTAAAATATTATTTTTTTCAAGAAATTTATCTAATCTGGTCATAAACCATTTTTCAAGAATTTTAGAGAATTGTGGCAATAAGGATATAGGCCTATAATTACTAAATACAGGGGCAGCACGGTGGCACAACTGGTAGAGCTGCTGCCTCTCAGTGAGCAGGTCCCTGGTTCAAACCCCGGTCCAGGGGCCTTTCTGGGTGGAGTTTGCATGTTCTCTCCGTGCATGCGTGGGTTTTCTCCGGGTACTCCGGTTTCCTCCCACAGACCAAAAACATGCATGTTAGGCTGATTGGTAACTCTAAATTGTCCCTAGGTGTGAGTGAGAGAGTGAATGGTTGTTTGTCTCGTTTGTTTCTATGTGTCCCTGTGATGGACTGGAGACCCGTCCAGGGTGTACCCCGCCCCTCGCACAGTGATTGCTGGACATGGGCACCAGCGACCCCCGTGACCCAAAAATGGAATAAACGGGTAAAGATAATGGATGGATGGATGGATTACTAAATACACGTTTGTCACCATTTTTAAAAAAAGAACTACTTTAGCTATTTTCATTCTGTCTGGGAATATACCTTTTGAGAATGATAGATTACAAATATACGTAAATGGTTCAGTGACATGACTTATTATTTCATTATTTCACTTTAGTTACTGTCTGCTCTCAAGAAACAAAAACAAAGTTTCTCTCAGTTCTTGTGTACTGTTTTTTTTATGATTCCATAAACCTCTGCTATTTCAGCTTTCTTGTTGATTTCTGTGAGCCAACAAACAACTGGCCACTCATGTTTCCTAGCAGAGATGCATAACAAAGTTTTAATACTTGCACTTTTTACAGGCTTTCTGTTTCCACCTCCTCTTTCTGTTCTTGTGTAAAGAACAATTCTTTTTTTAAATTTTGGAACAGACGTGCAAACAATATTCATCATGCACAAGATGACTCTTTGATAACAGCACACAGGTTATGAAACAGCTCCAACTTCAAATATGTCTCATGCAGAACACCAAATAAATGACAAAGATGATAATTTTAATTGCATTAAACCATTGCATATGCAGGTTAACAACATAAAACCTTTTTTTTCTATATGAATTGTTGAGATTTCATTTTCCTGGTTACAAATTACACCGCCTTTTGTAGAAAGTGAAATGGCAACATTTTAACCTGGTCATGGGCTCTGGGGGGTTGGAGGGACAGATGGGTAGATGGATAGAAGTAAATGGAGAGAAGGGGGGAGGAGTGGGGGTTTAGGGTTGTTGAGTTCACGAGAACTGGATGCTGAGGGAGTTGAATACCTTGAGCTAAACAAATTAAAGTAAAAGCAAAAGATGAATGACTAAGGGGTACAGGGCACATCTGGAAGCAGCAAACAAGTCGTTGAGCAAGCCAAGGGAGGAGGGTGCAGATATTAGAGAAAGGAAGGGGAACGGGAATGGGAGGCAGAGTCGTGACTCTAGCTTGATTTACGAAGGCTTTCCTTTTAATGAAATTGTTTCAGTGACAGAGCCGGTAAAAGGCCCTTAATGGATTGGCTGGCCTAATGTAATGAAATTACTCCCTCTTTCACGACAGAGGAATAAAGAAAGGACATGGGGAGGAGGGGTGGAGGAGAATAGGAGAGGAGAAATTCAATTAATATTTACAGAATAGACAAGCAGGGTGGGCTTTAGTGACACTCGCTCTCCTCTTCAGTGGCTCTGCCTCTCTCGTCCTCCCCTTTCTGGTGGCCAGTGGGTGGCAGGGAGGGAGGTGATAGGCTGATGGGAGGAAGTCACTTCAGCACACCGGTCTCCTCTCTCCTGGTCTCCTTTTCCTCTCCTCTTTTCCTCTGAGCGTCACATCTGCACAGATGTGAGAGACTTCACTCAGGTGTGTGTGCTGCCGTCTGGACTGGTTTTCACCTGAGTGTGTGTGTGTGTGTGTGAGAGTGTGTGAGAAAGACTTATCGCTGGTGTCTCCCACCTGCTACTTAAAGCCCATTGCTTGGGTGTCACCTTACATGGCTGAGTGGACCTTGCAGACTTGTTCCTGACTCACATCTGTCCCATCTGTGTGTGTGTGTGTGCAGACAACTGGACAACAATCACATCAGCTGCATTGAAGATGGAGCTTTCCGAGCACTGCGTGATCTGGAAATTCTGTAAGTAGAGAAAATCTGTGCTCCCTACTCTGCTCCTCCTCCTCTCATCCATTTCTTCTCCTTGTCTCTCCTCCTGTTCATGTGTTGCTGTGAACTTAGGATGTTTACGGCACTCTCCTCCTCTCTCTGTTGGCGTTGCTTTCTACCTGTTGGTTTTTTGTTGCTGTAAAGCTTTATTATTATTATTTGTATTATTATTATTATTGTGATTTTTCTTCTTTCTTCTTTCCATATACTTTTTTCACCCCTCATACCTTATCGTTGAGCTACTTTTTTATCTATAACTCTTCAGAGCTTTAATTCAGAAAATATTCTCATGAGAACATCATTTTTTATGTACATTTTCATCTAAGAATTTCGGCTATCCCAGCTGATGTTAGTGTAGCTGTGTGCGCACTGCTGTGCACATCCAGTGTTAGCCGCTTGCAGCGATGATGCACAACTTACCTGTTCATTGACCAGAAAACACAAAGTCCATGATTTATAACACTTCTTCACTCAGACACACGTTATCGCATATAATGCAAAGAAGAAGAAACACACTGTGACGTTGCCATCGACTGTTGTTTGCATTTTTTATGCCAAGTGCAACAGTTCATGTGGGTTAATTCATTCAGCCTTTATTTATAGAGGTTAGTCTCATTGAGCCTTGAGGACTCATGTACAAAAGAGACCTGCTTTTAACAAAGTATGATGACAACAGTAGACAATCATAAAAGAGGCATATACATTGAAAATAAATAAATAAATGGAAGAAAATGATTATTAAAAAAATGAAACAAAAACAGCTACATTGTAAAGTGATGTAGAAAAACAGGAACATGTGTGTGTTGTTTTTTCCCAATAACTTAACAGATATTTGAAGCCGCCAGCACGGTGGTGCAACTGGTACAGCTGTTGCCTCTCAGCGATCAGGTCCTTGGTTCAAATGCCGGTCCAGGGGCCTTTCTTGGTGGAGATTGCATGTTCTCTTCGTGCATGCATGGGTTTTCTCCGGGTACTCCAGTTTCCTCCCACAGACCAAAAACATGCATGCTAGGCTGATTGGTAACTCTAAAAAATTGTCCATAGGTGTGAGGGAGTGAATGGTTGTTTGTCCCGTTTGTCTCCATGTGTCCATGTGATGGACTTGGATATATACACACACATATATATATATAT